GGCAGGCAGAGCTCGCCCTTGGCCGCCAGCCCCCACTGCTATCGCCCCATCTCTTCCCGCTGGGGAGGCGTCCTGTCCTTTCGGAAGGATGGGGGAAATGGAAAAGGCTCCACCTCTTCCCTGGGCAAATACAGCTCCTCTGAGTTCATATCCTGGAGAGCGGAATAGCCAGGTCCCAGCAGGGACGGTGACTTCACCTCCCGGTAACGCGTTTCCTCGGCCAGCTGGGAAAGGAGCCCTTGTATCTCTGAAGGAGCTGCCTGGCTACCCCCACCCAAAGCCTTTCCCAGCTGTTTCCATCCTGGCTGGGGCTGGGGGGTGCCATTTTGGCTCCATGGGGAAGGGGTGTTACCATTCCCCTTGCTGTGGGAGCCAAGCTGGGATGCATTGCTTTGGGCTTGGCGGTTGGTGCAAACCCCCAAATGTTGATGGGGAAGGGGAGCAAGCGCTGTGCATCCCACTCCACAGCTGAGCTCCTTCTGGGGGCCTGAAACTTGGAGCAAGAGCACTGTTGCAAGGGGCGAATCCAGGCCCAAAGGACTCCTGTGATGCTGTTTCCCCTCCTTGGTCTTTGCGCCCTCCATCCCTGCTGTGGCCTCCAAACCTTGGGGGTCAGAGGCAAGAGCTGCACCTTCTTCCCAGCTGCGTAGATGGGGACGGGGTTTCCGACTCTGCTTTTCCTTTCATTGTTCTGGGAGCCTTCCCTTTGAACAAGCTGCCTGTTTTTTCCTGCTTTGCTTGGAGGGGGAAGTGGTGGGGGTAAATTGGGGATCTCTCTGGAGGTCCTAGGGCAGCTGGGCTGGGGGTCAGCAGTTGGTGTCTGTGCTGCATGAGGATGCTGTCCCTGATGCCTTGTACTGCCATCCTCTTAAAAAAACTTCATTGTTAGGTTAGAGATGAGGAGTCTGTGTGTCTTGGTGTGGGGATGTTCAGCACCACACGGATACTGTGTACAGGCCTTGGGATGCTGTCAGGAGCCCCCCAAGTTTGGGAGGGCTCTGCTTTCTACTGAGTCTGCTGCAGCCAGTGGGTTTTTTTCCAGCTGGACTCAGGGTGGCAAAACCAGGAATAAGGCTTGTGTGTGACAGCTGTTGTGCAGCATGAAAGCAGGCAGGGCTCTGGCCAGGTCTGGCATATCTTGCACCTGGGTTTGGTAGGTTTCTCAAGGCAGGAAGACACCAATTAAACTCAAGGAGTTGGCAGATGCTGGTGTAGAGAAAGATAAGGGGTTCCCTACTGTGTCGCTGTCTCCCATCCCTGCCATTTGCCCTGTGTCAATGGGAATCTGGTTCCCTGATTGCAGCCTCTCCATCCCTGCCAGTTAACCCAGTGGCTTTGCCCCAGTCAGACCCACCCCATGGTGCCTGGCTTGACGAAGGACCTGTTTGTCAGCGTTGGTGGGGAGCCCGTTGGCAGGGGTGCTGTGAGGCCTCAAACTCAGGCACAGGCCATTTGTGGGCAGGAAAGCACCTGTGACATTTGGACACCTGTGGCATTTGGATGCAGGGATGGGTGCTCAGCTCAATATTCTATCTGGCAATACCTTAGCAGCCAAATTCACCCACCACAACCATGGAGACCTGGGCACAACACTGGGCTCAGTGTTTGGGTTGCAGGCTGGTGGCTGCGGCAAGCAGCTGGGGTCAGGAGCCCTTGGCTTTCATCCAACCTCTGTCTCAAGCTTGCTGGGCAACTTTGAGTTTCTTAAGGCCTCTGTGGCTGAGCTCCTTCCTGCCCTATCAAAGTGGGTGAATCTCTTCCGAACCTATTGGGAAACTGCACCTGAAGCAGCCAGTTTGCCAGGAGGAGCCAGGTGTGTGTGGCCACAGCAGACATACCTGTGGCCTGAGAGGTGACAGGGAAGGGTGATTCCTGAAGAAGAAGGATGGATATCACCTCTTCTTGTCTAGATTTTGGGTGAGACATTAAGTTTCTCTGGAGCCTGAGCACAAACCCATGGTGTGCCAAGGCAGGGCCAGCTCAAGCTGTCAGTGCAGGCTGAGGCCACGCAGGGCAGGTTGGGTGCCATCTCCTGCCACCTCCACCCTGAGAGGCTGCCACCATCATCAGAGATGGCTGGTGCTCTGTGGGATCACAGATGATTAGTGACTCCAGCTCATTTATATATATATTGACTTAGAAGTGACAGTCCACAGTGGATTTTTTTTTTTCCCAAGAGGGTACGTGCACATACTTGGTGTGTTCAGAGCACATGGTCCTTCTCCTAGAGCAATGGGGTGGTGTTCCTGCAGTGGCCAGACAGAGCATCTCTGTGTGTGGGATGCTCGTGGTGCAGGTATGGTCAGGGTCCAGGGATGGTTGTGGCTGGACATTGAGGGATGCTGGTGGCTGGCAGCGCAGGGATGCTCATGGTACTGGGATGCTCAGACATACTGATGCCCCAAGGAGCATTCTGGGAGGGACATGGAATATTTGGGCATTTCCTTCCCCAGCCAAACCCAGACAAGTGTGTCTCATCCCTTCCCAGCGAGTGGTTCAGGGCTGCAAAGGGATCATATCCACCTCCCAGCTCTCAAAGCAAAGCCCAAGGGTGTCCCTGCCGGGACGAGGACCCTGCACAGGGTGATACAGAGTGCTCAGTATGCTGGCACGGAGGGTGCTGGCTGGGCTGGGCAAGAACACGCCTGGCTCCACGCAGCCAGCACTGGGCAAGTACCCTGAGATGGGTGAATACGGGTTTGTGCGGCACGGGGGAGGGTCCCGCCCCGCTTCCCGGCAGCCCCCCGCACCTCACGGGGAGCTCAGCTGCCTGGGTGCAGCTCAGCTACGTGGGGAAACTGAGGCACGGACAGGGGGTCGCTTGTTCAGGGCAGCTGGTTGGAAACACGCCGTGCAGGGCTGTACCATCATGGACCCCCTCCAACAGGGAGGGTCTGAAAGGCCAAGGGCTGGCACTTTTTTTTTGGCTGGGGCTGGGATGGGGCTGGGGTCTCTGCCCTGCTGGACCGAGCGGCTGCGCTGCCTTTGCCCGGACGGCGTCGGTCGGAGCAGGCGGGCCCTCCG